TCCAGTGGGGCACCCCCGGGGAGACCCCTGGCAAGACGATGAAGCGGCTTCAAGCCACCCTGGATGCGATGTTCACAGGCGCATGGCGCGCGTTCGCCGAGCAGCACGTCAAGGGCGCGCTCGACCCGCTACGGCGCGACCAGCAAACCTGCGTCAACTTCCTGTGCTCATTCCGCAGCCACAACTGCGATGTGCGGGCTATGAGCGACGCGCTGGTTCTCGGCGTCGACTGGGTTCAGCTGCGGCAGCGATGCCCGGGTCGCAGTGACGGCGCGGGCAAGGGGCGCCAGGTGGCGAAGGGCCACGCTTGCAGCCGCGCTCCCAGGAAGGGCAAGAAGCAGTGGAAGGTCGTCAGCCCTAGCCCTACGGGCGCGCCCGCCCCTGCTGCTCCGTAGTCGCAGCCCGGCGCGCCCATGCGCCATGGTCGCTGTGGCTTCCTTGCAGAAAGTGCAGCCTTCAGCTGCCTCTTGGTTTTCTGGTATGCCGAACACCAGTGGGCCACTCAGTAGGTGGGCGTCCGCTCCCCTGCTCGGAGGACGGGCCCCGCAGCTGGTAGGCGGCAAGCAGGGCGACGGCCTCAACGGTGCCGGGAGGGGCGACAAATGCTCCCGCAAATAGCGGTGATCCATCTGTACTCGGCAGACCAGTGGCCTTCTGTCACTTCCTGGTCGCGCTTTCTGCCTCCCTCTTCTCCTCCTGCTCTGCCGTCTTCTCCTTCAGCACCCGCTGCCCCCCGCCCTTGGGGCCCTGGCAACTGCCTGCTGACAGTGCCGACACGTGGACTTCCGCCGGGGCCGTGGTCCACCTGGGGCCGTGGTCCACCTGTCCTAGTTGACCCCTGGCCTTGCTGTAGCTGTTTTCGCCGCCAGGCCGCCGGTCACCGCTAATCTTGCATGCGCGCGCTCCTGGACCTGGCCCCTGGCAGCTGCAGCTTGCCCCCCCCCCTCGCGCCAGCCCGCCCGCCGAGGCGCTGCTGAGGCCACCGGCCCGTCGGCGTTAGACAATTCGGCTCTTGCGCGGCGCTCGGACCTGACTCGCCGCTGGCGCCCTCGCCTGCGGTTGCGACAAAAAGTACCCCCACCAGCCCATCCAGAAACGATGCCCAGAGGAAGTGCCTCGATCAGGGAAGTGGGCAGCACGCAGAGGAAGGGTCCCCCAGTGGAGGCCTCTTGGGGCGTCTTGGGGGCCTCTTGGCGGTCCCTGGCGCCTCTTAGAGAGTCTTGGGTGCCTCGGAGAGCTTCTTGGGGCCTCTTTGGGGTCTCTTGGGGGCCTCTTGGAGGCCTCCGGGGCGCCTGTTGGGGCCTCCTGGGGCCTCCTGGGCGCCTCTTGGGGCCCTCTTGAAGCGCTTTTGGGAGCCCTGGGGGCGCTCTTGGAGCCCTCTTGGGCCATCTTGGAGTCATCTTGGAGCCTCGGATGGCCATCGGAAGCGAAAAGGCGAGAAAACCGTACATTTGGATTTGCCGAAGGTTTTGGGAAGATTTTGGCTTCTTCGGTGCCTCCTGGGGGGGCTCTTTGCCCACTTGGAGCCGTCTTGAAGCGGTCTTGGGGTCTCTTGGAGCATCGTGGGAGCCATCTTGAGGCATCTTGGGATATTTTGAGCCATCTTGGAGGTCATCTTGGGCTCTCCCAGGTGCTCTTGGAATCATTTGACGCAGTTCCCCCCCCAGGAGGCCCAAATGTGGCCAAAATCTTAGTGCAATCGATGATTTTGGCATTGTCGCCGAGGCCTCTTGGAGCGTCTTGTGTGCCTCTGGGGGGCCTCTTGGGGCCTCGTGGGGGTCTCTTGGGAGCCTCTTGGGGGCATCCTGGGTGTCTCTTGGGGGCTTCTTGGGGCCGCGTGGGGCCATCTTGGGGCCATATCGGGGCCTCTCGGGGCCTCCTGGGCGCCTTTTGGGGCCATCTTGGAAGAGATCGATCACAGGAGGGGGGGGGGCTAAATTAGTTTCCCCCCATCAGGAGGCCAACGTTGGGCCAAAACCTTGATAAAACCAGTGATTTTGGCTTCCTCGCCGAGGCCGTTTTGGACGCTCCAACGCGTCGCGGAACCCCCCGTCCAGGTCCAGGGGAGGGGGTAGGGGGCGGGGTCAAGACCCCCTCCCCGCCCGCAAGCCGTCTCGCTCACTCCCACCCGCCCTCCCGCCACATACGTAGCACCCGAGCTTGGCCCGAACCGCAGCATATTCAGCAGTCGACTTGGGATGGGCAGCTTCTGGGGGCGAATCCGCCGCCGCCGCCGCCGCCGCCGCCGCCGCCGCCGCCCGCCGCCGCCACCGCAGGCGCGCCGCCGCCGCCGCCCGCTGTCCGCCGCCGCGCCGCCCGCCGCCGCCGCTGCCGCCGCCGCCCCCGTGTCGAATCGCCGCCGCCGCTGCCGCTGCCGGCCGCCGTGCCGCCGCGCCGCTGCCGCGCCGCCGCCGCCGCCGCCGCCGCCACCGCCGCCGCCGCCGCCACCGCCGCCGCTGCCGCAGCCGCCGCAGCCGCTGCCCCCGCCGCAGCCGCCGCCGCCGCCGCGGCCGCCGCCAAGTGTATCATGTATTGTTTTTTTGAGAGGGATGGTGGGGGGAGGCCGCATCGGGTTTGATGCGCATGCTCCGAATTTGGAAGCAGAGTGTGTGTTCGTGTTGTTTTTACCTAGCGGCGAAGACTGATAGGTTTCTAGTGGTGTCAAAAGAGAGCATCATGACTCCTCAGAGGGGGTCGGGGCGGGACCCGGGGCGGCTGCCGCCGAAGCCCAAATCGCCTTAGACATCCTCGCAAACTCGCTCTTGGCGCTCCCAGAAAGCCATTCCCGGGCCACATTTTGAATGCCCGGAGCCAACTGTAGGCCATTTCGTGCTCTTCGACTTCCCAGAACCTCATTCCCGGGCCACATTTTGGATGCCCGGAGCCAACTGTAGGCCTCTTCGTGCTCTTCGACTTCCCAGAACTCCATTCCCGGGGCACATTTTGGATGCCCAGAGCCAACAGTAGGCCACTTCGTGTTCTTCGTGTTCCCAGAACACCATTCCCGGGCCACATTTTGAATGCCCGGAGCCAACTGTGAGGCTGAGGCTGAGGCAGGCTGAGGCCGAGGCAGGCTGAGGCTGAGGCCGAGGCAGGCTGAGGCCGAGGCTGAGGCTGATGCAGGCTGAGGCTGAGAGGCTGACGCTGAGGCTGAGGCAGGCTGAGGCTGAGGCTGAGGCCGGGGTAAGCTGAGGCTGAGGCTGAGGCAAGCCGAGGCAGGCTGAGGCTGAGGCTGCTGAGCTGAGGCAGCTGAGGCTGAGGCTGTGGCTGAGGCTGAGGCAAGCTGCGGCTGAGGCAGGCTGAGGCTGAGGCTGATGCAGGCTGAGGCTGAGGCAGGCTGAGGCTGAGGCTGAGGCAGGAGGCTGAGGCTGAGGCCTGAGGCCGAGGCAGCCAGAGGCCGAGGCAAGCCCAAGCAGGCTGAGGCTGAGGCTGAAGCTGAGGCAGGCTGAGGCTGAGGCTGAGGCTGAGGCAGGTTGAGGCTGAGGCTGAGGCTGAGGCTGAGGAGGCTGAGGCTGAGGCTGAGGCTGAGGCTGAGGCCGAGGCCGAGGCAGGCTGAGGCTGAGGCTGAGGCAAGCCGAGGCAGGCTGAGGCTGAGGCTGAAGCTGAGGCAGGCTGAGGCTGAGGCTGAGGCTGCTGAGGCTGAGGCAAGCTGCGGCTGAGGCAGGCTGAGGCTGAGGCTGATGCAGGCTGAGGCTGAGGCAGGCTGAGGCTGAGGCTGAGGCAGGCTGAGGCTGAGGCTGAGGCCGAGGCAGGTTGAGGCTGAGGCCGAGGCAAGCCGAGGCAGGCTGAGGCTGAGGCTGAAGCTGAGGCAGGCTGAGGCTGAGGCTGAGGCTGTGGCTGAGACAAGCTGCGGCTGAGGCAGGCTGAGGCTGAGGCTGATTCAGGCTGAGGCTGAGGCTGAGGCTGAGGCTGAGGCAGGCTGAGGCTGAGGCTGAGGCCGAGGCAGGCTGAGGCTGAGGCCGAGGCAAGCCGAGGCAGGCTGAGGCTGCGACTGCGAGAACAGCAGAATTCTACCTGGATTCTCACCTAAATCTTAAGGGGAATGCTTCCAGATATGCTTCTACACATCGCTGTTAGGTTGCTTTGCCGGGATAATTTGCAAGGGATGGTGGGGGGTGCCCGCATTGACCCCGGTTGACTCCCAGTCGCCTGGGGGAGGGGGTGTATATCAATACGGAACAGTGATCAAGACCCCCTCCCCGCCCGCAAGCCGTCTCGCTCACTCCCACCCGCCCCCCCGACACATACGTAGCACCCGAACTTGGCCCGAACCTCAGCATATTCAGCAGTCGACTTTGGATGGCCAGCTACTCGGGGCTAATCCGCCGCCGCCGCCGCCGCCGCCGCCGCCGCCGCCCGCCGCCGCCGGCGCCGCGTCGCCGCCGCCGCCGCGCCGCTGCCGCCGCGCCGCCGCCGCGCGCCCGCCGCCGCCGCCGCGCCGCCGCCCCCCGCTGCCAATTCGCCGCCGCCGCAGCCGCTGCCGCCGCAGTCGCTGTCGCCACCGCTGCCGTTGCCGCCGTTGTCGCTGTCGCCACCGCTGCCGCCGCCGCCGCCGCAGCTGGGGCCGCCGGGGCCGCGTCGCCGCCGCCGCCGCGTTGTCCGCCGCTGCCGCCGCCGCCGCGCTGCCCGCCGCCGCCGGCGCCGCCGCCGCCGCTCCCGCTGCCCAATCGCCGCCGCCGCAGCCGCTGTCGCCGCAGTCGCTGTCGCCACCTCTGCCGCCGCCGCCCACCGCCGCCACCGCCGCCGCCGCCGCCGCCGCTGCCACCGCCGCCCCCGCCGCCGCCGCCCCCGCCGCCGCCACCGCCGCAGCCGCCGCAGCCGCTGCCCCCGCCGCAGCCGCCGCAGCCGCCGCCGCCGCCGCCAAGTGTACTCTGTATTTTGTTTGGCAGGGATGGTGGGGGGAGGCCGCATCGGGTTCGCGGACGACGAGGACGAGGAGGTAGTGGGGACAGTCCAGAAGAGGGGAAGGAAATTATAGCGCGCACGTCAGAAGCCTCCGCAGCCGCCCTGGCTCAACACGGTCGCACGGAACGTGCCGTGCCGGTCGCCGTCCGGCTGGCGCGAGCTGCCCTCCCTGGCCGCGTGGGGGTGCCCTGGGGAGGCCGCAGGCGGAGGCGGAAGGTCCGTCCGGGGCAACGTTTGGGGGGGATAGGCTCAGGGGGGATGCATCGACCCCCAGTCGCCCATTGATCGCCGATGGGAACCCGCTAGCCCACCGTGCCCAAGACCGAGCGGATCAGATCTCGGGGGCCCATCGCCGATCTGTCGGCGACGCATCGGCGATTTCAGGTGGAGGTTTCCGCCCTGAGCCGATGCCCCCCCCAATGTTGCCCCTCAGCACTGAGTGGGCCCTGGCGCTGCCGAGGAAGCAGACCTCTGGCGACTCGGCCTTTCGCCCCAGCGGTGCTTCCACTCGAAGAAACAAAGGCTGCATTGACACTGGCTTCTGGAGATCCGCGTGGTTTTCTTGGATCGGCGCTGCTCCCCCCCTCCCTGGCGCGCGGAGCGTGCCAGGGGCCGCGCCAGTGTGGGCGCCAGCGGGGGCCCCACCAACCGGTCTCAGAAATGACGGGAAGAGCCGTTCTTGGGTGCTTCTGCGATGAAGTCGGGCATGGTCCTCTACGATTGATTCTTTTTCGTCCTTCTCCCGAAGCCCGTCCGCAGGAGGACATTCCCGACCCAATCTCCACGAGCGAAGCCGCGAGATCCCCCCTTGATACCTGTGCCTCGCGCCCCTGCCGCGGCCTCCAGGGAACGGGCCACCGGCATGCCATCCCCCGCTCCCCCCTCTGCCCCTCCCTCACCGAGCGCGTTCCACTGCTCGCAAAGAGTGCCTGCTCGCAAGCGTCCGAAGAAGCCCACGTTCGCCTCGACGTGAGATGCGTCGTAGATTCCCCACGGCGGATCTGGGCCATTTGCGAGCAGTGACTTGGCGAGCACGGCAGGTTCGCGTCGTGCCGACCAGCGGCGATCCCGCCGCGGGCGTTCCAGGTCGAACGCCGCCAGTGGCCCAGAATCGGCCTTCATCGAACCAGCGGGCGATCGGAAAGCCGCCGATCGTTCTAGGTGGAACGAGCCACGAACCATCCACGCGGTGTCAGAAGCCAACGCCCGGGGTCGTCACGACACGAGGCTGCCGCAGTGGAACGCGCTTGCCCACTCCCGGGGGCCGTGCTGCGCTTGATGGCGTGGGCGGCGGCGGCGCCGGGCGGGCCGGGCCGGGGCGGGCGGGCGGGCCCCGGCAGCCGCCGGAGCCGGAGCCCGAGCGGGCGGAGGAGGCCTGCGCGGGCTCGGGGAGCCCGTGTGTCGATCTGGCCGGTGGCAGCCACGCGGACGACCAGTCGGCGGACGAGTCCACCCGTGCAGGCGTCCGGAGCGTGAGCAAGAGGAGGCACAGGGAGGCGTCCAGGCAGCCGTCCGAGTCCTACACGACCTCGTGGAGCACCTCGCTCGATCTGGCTGGGGATCGGAGCCTGCTGGTGCCGGTGAGGCAGCACGTCCTGTACGGAGCTGGCCTACCCTGGCCATATATTTTGAGTGGGATGTTCAGGGATCTTCTGAGGGGGATGGTTTATGTCTTGGCTTTTCCAGGGCTGCTGATCTTTATGTGTGTTTGCGTCGCAATCCGGTGCTTGAAGCACACACACTGTTTCCGCAAGGCAGAGCCAAGTCGGTTACTCAGGCTGAGGAGACAAGTTCTCACGTGGAACAAGGCCGCCATCATGCGACGGACAGTTTGCTCGTTCATCCTGCTGTGGCCTCCCGCGTATCAGATCTACAAGCAAGAGGACTCAAGTATATGTTCGACCGCTGATGTGTTACGTCCTTGTCTCTTGCTTGCCTTTGGAATAAGCTACACACATCGCGCGCGAAAATTCGTCAGCCGAGTGAAAGCGGCGGTCGCAGCTTACCAGGATCCTACAGATGTCGCAACGTCCTCGTCTCGCTACTCCGCCGTGTCACCAGCTCTCCGTCTCAGCGAGCAGCATGGAAAAGGTGAAGTGTGTGAGGATCAGTCAGCGCATCGTATTAGAGACCAGATGAAGTTCAAGGGCTACAAGTCAGGTCTAGACTGGCCATCGTGGGACGAACAGCCATACTGTAGCATTTCTCTCAAAGGTTTCGTAATCGCTGCAACGGGTGCGCTCGTGCCTCAGTTGGGTAAGGTGATTGAATCTCATTTGATTGGTCACCATCTTTTGGCTTCTCATATCAGCGTCCCGCAAAGTAGCTTAGATGTCCTTGCAATTGTAACAAATATGATCGCGACTTTCTTTATTTGGAAGAACTTGGTGTCCCATGGGACTTGGTGCTTATTAGCGTCGAAGCAGCAAACAATCAACAAGAAAGTGTTCTGTGCCCTTACATCTATTGAGCAGCTTGAACAATTGCACGACATGGTGTGCATAGATGCGTACGGTCATGCCAGAGACGAACCTTGTACAGCGTGCGCTGGCTGTAAGCTCTTCCCCAGAATGATAGTCACGACGTTTCGCGGCTTGACAGTGTGGTATAATTTGAGGAAGCGCGTTTCCTACAACTGGGTGTATCCGCGGGTGCAGACTGAAGTTTTTATGTCTGCCAGCTGCTTGATGTGCCTCTGTGAGTTCACCCTTGTTGTCTGGAAGTTCATTGCCGTTTCGCACATGAGCGACGCACAGGAAGACGGGTACAAGCTCGGTGCAATGTTGAGCTCATTTTTATCTAATCGCCTTCGGCCCATCGCGCCACCGCGCCTGGGTTGTGGGTCAGAGTTCTCCAGGATGCTCTTGGGGTTTCTTCGGAGCGCTCTCGGGTGCCTCTTGGGGACACTTCTAGGGCCTCTTGGGAGCCTTGTCGGCTTCTTGGGGGCCTCTCGGGGCCTCTCGGGGCGTCTTGGGGGCCTCTCGGGGGGCTCTTGGAGCCTCTGGGGGGCCCCTCGGGGGCCGAGGGCTCAACATGTCCGTGGGGGTCCCCCATCTGGTCTTGGAGCCGTCATTGGGGCCTCTTGGGCCGTCTTGGGCGCCTCTTGGGTCGTCTTGGGGCCCTCGTGGGCCGTTTCGGGGCCCTCTGGGAGGCCTCTTGGGCCGTCTTGGGGCGATCTTGGGGGCCTCCAGGGCCGTCTGGGAGCGTCGGGAAGCCGAAAAGGCGAGAAAGGCAAAAACCTTCAAACACCAGAAGAAAATCAATGATTTTGGCCTCTTGGGGCCCTCTTGGGAGGCCTCTTGGAGGCTCCTTGTGGGGGCCACTTTTGCCCTCTTGGCCCGTGTTGGGGCCTTCTTGGGCCCCGACGAATCATGCGACAAGATGCGCCGGAGCCCAGAAGGCACGCGGGAAGCCCCGAGAGATTTCGGAAGTTGGGTTCTGGGCCTTCATAATTGGTCGGGGGTGGACAGGACCCCCCAATAGTGACACGTCGATTAGTGCATTGTTCGTTTTCGGTTTTCGAGAGGGCGCCGCGGCCGTTATTTCCCAGGCTTGCGCCCGCCAGGTTCGGGCCTCGGGTCGTTTTCACTAAACCACGTTTTGCCAAAGTGGGGTCTGTCCATCCCCGAATACTTGACTCCTCAGGACTGAGGACTGAGGCTCAGGGGATGGGGCAGAGGACTCTGAGGACACGCCCACTCCGTGCCCAGCGGCCCGGCGGCGGATTTTCTGCCCTCGTTCTCGGAATACTGAACGCGCGTCTCGTATTGGACAGCGTGGTCCGGAATGATATGATGGATGCGCACGTGAAAGAAATCGAGCGAGAATGTGAGTTTTTGTACCGAGGGGCCAGTGTCGGATTGTCACCTGAATCCAGAGTGGATTTTATGTTGTATCTCGACTTTATAAAGGATCGGGTTTCGAGCGACGACTTGAAAGACAAGCTGTTTGGAGTTGTAGTAGATCGTGGGTTGGGCTTCGTGTGCTTGTTTTCATTTGTCGCGGCTGCTGGAAGCATAGGTCAAGAACTCGCCTTGTCTTGGTAGAGCGACATTCGAGCACTATTTGCGCAATACTGCGAATACCCAGAAAGCTGGCTCAGTGTCTTCTTGCAGAGGCGCTCTGGCCCGTGCCGCCGATCTGTCGTGCAACGGGGGACGGTGCTGGGCCGTCCTGGGAGGCGTCTCCTGTGGTCCGAGCGTGGCATGGGCCTCTTTGGGAATCTCTTTTGGGGTATTGTGGGAGGCCTTCGTGTGGCTATTTGAGGACTTTAACGGGGCCTCTGGGAGGCTGCTTGACCTCCGGGGCCGCCCCGGGACCATCGATGGGGGGGCCCTGGGGCCCTTTGAGGCGTGCTGTGGCAGTGTTGGGTGTCGTCTTCGGCAGTTTTCTGTCCCGCCTGGGGCAGTTTGTGGGACGCTTTTTGGTCCGTCGTCGGGATGGATGGGGGGCCACATGCGAACCCTACCCCTACCCCCCAGGGTTTCTGAGCGGGGAGGGTGGGGTTCACCTCGCTCGGGAGCTCCCGAGCGAAGTGAACCCCACCCTCCCCCTCAGAAATTGAGGGGGGCAGGGGTAGGGTTCGCATGTGCCCCCCTAGCCCGTCCGGGATGGATGGGGCTGCCTTCTAGGCGCCTCGGGGCGGCCTGAAGAGTCTTCGTCGGGATGGATGGGGCTGTCTTCTAGGCGCCCTGGGGCGGCCTGAAGAGTCCTCGGGGCGCGACGGCGTCGCCTCCCGCCCGCTCGAGCGCGAGCGGGCGTGCGGCCAGGCGGTCGTCGGAGGCAGGCGGGGGCCCCTGCGGTCGCCGGGCGGCGAGGGGTGGCTGCCTGCGGCCGTGGGCCTCTGGAGAGCGCGGTCGAAGGTCGGCGGCGGGCGAGGGGGAGGAGGAGGAGGAGGAGGAGGAGGAGGAGGAGGAGGAGGAGGAGGAGGAGGAGGAGGAGGAGGAGGAGGAGGAGGAGGAGGAGGAGGAGGAGGAGGAGGAGGAGGAGGAGGGAGGAGGAGGAGGAGGAGGAGGAGGAGGAGGAGGAGGAGGAGGAGGAGGAGGAGGAGGAGGAGGAGGAGGAGGAGGAGGAGGAGGAGGAGGAGGAGGAGGAGGAGGAGGAGGGAGGAGGAGGAGGAGGAGGAGGAGGAGGAGGAGGAGGAGGAGGAGGAGGAGGAGGAGGAGGAGGAGGAGGGAGGAGGAGGAGGAGGAGGGGAGGAGGAGGAGGAGGAGGAGGAGGAGGAGGAGGGAGGAGGAGGAGGAGGAGGAGGAGGAGGAGGAGGAGAGGAGGAGGAGGAGGAGGAGGAGGAGGAGGAGGAGGAGGAGGAGGAGGAGGAGGAGGAGGAGGAGGCGCGAGGAGGAGGCGCGAGGAGGAGGAGGAGGCAGGAGGAGGAGGGGCCCAGTCCTGGGCCCTCCTGGGCCACCAGGGATCCCGCGAGTGTCCGTGGTTCGCGCCAGAGTCGGCTGCGTTTGTCGTCGTCTCGTCGTCGCGTCGCTGCGCCCTCTAACGTAAGGCGGCCCGCGGCCTCTCGGCTCGATGCGTTCTGAGCGGCTGCGCCGCCGCGGCCTTGGCGCGCCCCTGGGCCCCTCCTGGGGTTCTGTTGGGGCTCGTCTCGATTCCTCCGATCCGATTCGACTTCGATGGGTTCCGATTCCGATTCGACTCGATTTCGGATTCCGATCTGGGCTCCGATTTCTTATTGGACGCGTGCTGGCCTGCCGATTTCCGCCGATTGGACTTCTCCCGACTCGGCTGCCGATCTCCGCCGATCCGACTTATTTCGATCGCCGATCCGACTTATCGAGTCGATTCTGGGCTCCCTTGTTCTCTTCGGCGATCTTGGAGCCATCCTGAGGCGTCTGGATCCCGTCGGAAACAAGAAGGCGCGAAGGAAAAGAGCCAGGTAATTACTCTGGGCTCTCACGAGCTCTGGAAGAAGCTCCGTGGCCATTGGAGCCATCTTGGGGCCTCTTGGCCGCGCAGGAGCCCTTCTGGAGCGTCTTGGAAGGCATCTTGGGTATCTTGGAGGCGCCCGGGAGTTGATTGTAGTGGCCTCTGGCCAGTGCCGCCGATCCGGGACGCTTCCGTTGCTGCCGGAAGCGCGCGATGGCGGTCATGACCAGCGACGACGGCGAGCGGTGAGGATGACGATGAGGATTGGGAAAGGAGGCAACGGAGTAGGATGAGGGGGAGGAGGATCATGATGAGGTGGAGGGGGGTGGGGGGGGTGGCAGGAGCAGCAGGATGCTGAGGATGAGGAGGAGCAGGAAGAAGCGGGAAGTGGAAGAGGGGGAGGGGGAGAAGGAGGAGCATGACGAGGATGAGGAGATTTTCGGCGGTTGTTGGAGATGCTCGGCGGTTGTTGAAAAACCTCATTGGGGCCAGGCGTTGGCCCTCTTTGAGTTGGCACCTCGCCGATTTGGCGCGCTCTCTGAAAAACTTGGTGCTCTAGCTGTTTGCGTCGCAGTTTTTTGTGGGGCCTTGTGCGTCGCCCGTCTCTGCTGGGAACCATAGTGTTTTTGGGGGCTCTGGGGGCTTCGCGCTGTGCTTTGTGGGCCCTGGTGAGATCATGGATGTGAAGGGCGCCGAAGACGGGGAAAACAAATGTGAAAGCGTGGAAAAACCTTCTGTATTGCAGCGCTTGTGTTCAGACGTGAGCGCTGGGGGAGCATAGGGGCGGGTTTTGAGCTTCCCGGGGGCAGTCTTGGAGGCAGCTTGGAGGCCTTTATGTGGCGTCGCGGATGCATTTTTTGATGCTCTTGGGGGCCTTTGGGGGGCTTCAGGGGGCCTCTTCGGGGCCAGTTGGAAGCGTCTCTGGACCTCTTCAAGCCTTTTGGGGGCCCCTGGGGGCATGGTGGGGGCTTCTCGGGCCGTCATCGGCACGTCCTCCGCCGTCTTGGCGCCCTTTCGGGCGCCTCTTGGGTCCGTCCTGGGGCCCTCTTGGGCCTTTCGGAGGGCCTTCTGGGCCATCTTGGGCCTTTCTTGGACCGTCTTGGAGCCTCTTGGCGGCTTCTTGGGCCGTTTTGGGGGTTTTCCTGGGGCGGTTGCGACGCTCTGAAGGCCCAAGAAGCGAATGTGCTGAAATCGAACTTGTCCCGTTCGGCGACTCGGAGCACTCTTGGCCCACGTTGGGGCCCTCGTGGCTGAGGGGGCCGTCCCGGAGTGAGCTGGATCTCCGATTCCGCTCCGGAATTAAGCCGCCCCCCCCTCCCCCCTGCCCGGGCAGAGCCACCCGGGCACCCACCCCCCAGTAGCGCTGAAACTCAAGAATTGAGGCTCAGGCTGTTCTGAGGGTCTTTGAAACTCACACTCCGGATCGGCGGAGTTGGAGGCTCGGAGAGCCCAGGAGACGCGCTGGTGAGCTCGTGCCCCCACCCCCAAACGACATTCTGGGCCCCCGGAGAGAGGGAAAATGGCTCCCAGCAAGCGGGGGTCGGCAGTTTTTCTTTGGGGCGTTGGGCAAGTGGCTGCAAGGATTGGTAAGGGCGTCGCCTGTGCGCGAATTTTCCGAAGGTGTCATTCGCATCGTGGTCGTGATGATCAGCGTCGACATCGTCGTACAATTTTCATAGCTTTGGTGCCGGCGACTTCTGGCGAAACAATATATCCCACAGGAGTGATGCCAGTTTGTCGTATTGTTTTTTGGCACGGCTTGCCTGTGATACCAACCTTTTTGGCATGCCACGGGGCAGCAGCCTTAGAGCTTGCAGGCAGCAGCCGCACGGTTTGCTTGCAGGCCTGCAGGTAGGGGGTCGGGATTCGGTCTCGGGCGGGAGATTTTCAAGTCGGGGGCCCCAAAGGATTTCGCGTAATTGCGCATCTGGGGTCATCAGGTTCCCACCAATCCTAGACGTGGTAACCCGTTTTTATGCAACATTTATTTGCGGACGCATTTTGGCTCCGCGAACACGGTGTCTGCCTGTTTCACCTTGAAGAGGCCGCTGGCATGCTTGCAGGTGAACGCCTCCCTTTTTTCATGTTTTACCCTCTACCATGCCCCCCTGGAACCTCCCGGCCCCCTGATAATTTGATATTCCCTGACCCCTCCCTCCCCCTCCCCTCTCCTGCTACTGCTGCTGCTGCCGCTTCTCCTCTCTCCTGATCCCTCCTCCCTGCTCCTTCCTCCTGCTGCTCCGTCTCCTCCTGCTCCCCTGCCTACTTCCTCCCCTTCCCGTTTCCTCTGTCTCTCTTATTCCCGCTTCTTCTTCCTTCTTCCTCCTTCTTCCACCCTCCTCGTTCGTCCCTCCTTCCTTCCTCATGCCCGCTCTCCTCCTTTTCCTGCCTCCTGTCGCTCCTATCTTCCTGATGCTCCTCTCTTTCTGCTGCTCCTCTTTCCTCTCTCCCTCCTGCTTCCTTACCGCCCTCTTTCCTCCCTCTTTCCTCCCTTTGCCTTCCTCCCTTTTATATCCCTTTGGTTTGCAAGGGATTCCCCCTGCCGCAACACTTGCGTGTCGTTAGGGGTGTGTCAGGAGTTTCGCTTGAGAGGTCCCCACCGCTGACGATATCTGGGCATGCAACTTCCGACAGCCACGCGGATGGCGGTTGCCCTGGTGGCCGCACTCTTAACAGTCGCACTAAGCAGAGGTCTGGAACCAGACCCCTCCCCCCCCAATGCCGCCCACTATCGAAACGCCGAATACCAGAAAAAAACTCACCAGATGGCTAGTCGTTTTCAACATGGGGTCTGGTCCTGTCGCCGCACGCTCGCGTCTTAAACCGTTCGAGCAGGTACACGGATGGACTGCGGGTGGTTTTCAAAGTGGTTCTCTCGCCTTGACGCGGCGCGTGCTCGTTGTGATCATGACCGACGGTCCCGCGCATGGGCGGCGGTTCCGCTTCGAGACGGGGCTCTCAGCCTGGCCCCGCGCACACCCGCTCTAAGCAGTGCAACAGTACACGCTGGTCGTTGAAAGTAGGTATTTTTGGATTCCCAGATCCCAATCTACTTCAAGCGCCTTCCTACTTCAAGAATCGACCTCCTTTTTCTGTGTTTTGTTGTTCTCTGCGAGGACCTGGACCCAATCTACCATATCCGCCTGGCTACTTCATGCTTCTACCTGCTTCTTCCGACCGACGTGTACATGCATCGAGGGCAAAGCCTTTGAGAGTGGGGACATCGCCTCGGCGCCGCGCGCACTCGTCCTGTGCACCGCCAGCAGCTCCACGGACAGAGGGCGCTTCTGCTCTCGCAGCGGGGCCCTCCTCGCGCACGTGCCCGACGCCTACCAAAGGGCTGCAGCGGCGCAGCAGCGGCACGGACGGAGGACGGCTCCCCTCGGGAGCGAGGCTCCGGCTACTCCAGATTTCGTGATAATGGGAGGGGGGTCTCATTTCGGTGGGGGGTCTCTTCCAGGCTATCTTGGAGGGCCTGGGGGGGTCTGGGGACGATGTTTCGGAGGGTTCTCCCACGGGGGGGGTCTGAAATGGCTTGTCTTGGAGGGTCCAGACCCCCTCCCTTTTATTACGAAATCTGGAGTACGGAAAGAATGGGTACTATGCCCAACAGCAGTTCCTGTTCATTTTGACCAGGATTCGCTGTCCACGCCGCCGCGGCCTGTGTCCATCCGAGGCAGAAGGCCGCCTGCCCAACAGCGGCCGCTGTTGGTTGGGGACGACATTTGCTGTTGGGCACTGCGCCCGTTTTTTCCGTGCCAATTTCGGGCGTCCAAACATCAGGAGGGGAAAAACATACAGACACAACCAATCGTCGATTCCCCAGAAAATATGGGAAAATATGGGAAGTGGGGGCGAAAACAAAAACCCAGAAGATATGGGAAAATGTGGGGGATCGTTTTATTCGTGTGTTTTTATTTGTGTGTCCTGGGGCCCCTTCAAAGCATGCGGGACCCGAGCAGCTCGTGGACCACGGGCCCTGCCGTCGCTTGCCCGCGGCCGCCTTCTCCTGCCCGAGCAGCCCCGCGGCGCGGCGGCGGCGCCCCTCGCCGCGCGCCGCTCGCCGGATGGAGGCCGCCGCCGAGGCTCGCGGGCCGCTCCTCGCCTTCGTGACGGGCGCCTTCGGCGGCGACTGCGCCCTCGTGGTCCGGGCGGCCCGCCTGGCCGCGGACCTGCAGCGGGTGGGGAGCAGGTACCCGCTCGTCGTGCTCGTCGACGGCGAGGCCTCCGCGAGGGCCTGCCTGCCGCCCGGCGCGGAGCACGCGGCGTCGCTGCGGGAGGTGGGGCGGAACTACACGCTGGGCTGCTACCAGGGGAGCTCAGGAGGGAAGAACACACACAGGCACAACGAATCGTGGACTCCCAGGAAGATGTGGGAAACTATGGGAAGGGGGGGGGAAGACAAAAGCCCAGAAAAGATGGGAAAATCTGGGGAATCCTGTTATTTGTGTGTATTTGTTTGTGTGTCCCAGGGCCCCTCCAGGAGCGAGGCATCCTACCTCCTGGCGTTCCAGAAGATCTGCAGCTGGGACCTGACGGAGTACGCGGCCGTCCTGTGGATCGACTCCGACGTCAAGGTCAGAGGAAACATAGACTCTCTTCTGGAGACCCGCCTGGAGGGCGCCAGCATCCTCGGCATGCTGAACGGCTGCCCCGACGGGCACACGAGGGGGCCGCACCCGCACCTTGGCTCGGCGCTCCTGCTCCTGCGCCCCGAGGCGGGCCTCGCGGAGCGGATCGTCGAGTTCTCGCAGCTGCACTACAGCTCCAGCCTGGAGGGCTGCTGGGACGGGGTCCAGAGCGGCCGGGCCTGGGGTTGCGCTCGTCACCACCCACCAAACCACCCCAACCCAACCCGAAGGCCCAAATTTATCCTCGATTTCCAGTGTGGGGGGGGGGGGTCGGGGAACATCGAAAAAACACATGGAGTCCGTACCCCCCCCCAACCCGAAATTCGGGTCAAATTCGGGCCTTCGGGTTGGGTTGGGGTGGTCTGGTAGGTAGTCAGCTCGGGCAGCCCCCGCACCAACATCCCCCGACGCCACGGCTGCTGCAGGCTGGCCTCCTCTTTTGGTGCCTCGGCGCCTCGGCGTCCCGGGCCCGCGGTCGGGCTCCGGGAGCGCTGGGGCCACGAGCGGTGCATCCCGGACGCAGGTGTCTGACCCCCCCAAGGGAAGAGGTCGGTGCGCGGACAGACATTGGCCTGGCGGAGACCCCGACATCATCTTCAGGTCTTTGAAGAGGTGGGTGTGCGGGCGGAACTTGGCCTGGCGAAGACCCGGACATTGTCTATACGTAGTGCACTTCTGAACAGGAATGGGGTGTGCCGACGTGGGCTCGGGGACGCTGCACTGGAGGCTCATGCCAAGAAACGCCCTTGCCTCCAGGGTGCCCTGGGTCTCTTGGGTTTCGATGGTTTTGCAATGGAGAGCGTGACGCTCCCACGCCAAAGACCACTGGACGTCCTGGGGTCTCAGGGTTGGGCTTCTTGTGGAAGGTTTCTTGCGGACTGGCCTCCACTGTATGCGAGCACGCCCACTGAGGCCAACGATGGAGCCCCCTTGCTCAGCACGCAGCGCGTGAGGGGTGTGCCGAACCGGAGCGCGGGTGTGCCGTGCGAGCACGCCCACTGAGGGCGCAGGTGGAGCTCCCAGTGGGCCACGACACGTGTGAGGGGTGTGCCGAGACGGGGCGCGGGTGTGCCACGCGAGCACGCCCTCGGCGGGCATGGGTGGAGCGCCTTGAGGGGCACGAAACGTGCGAGGCATGTGCCGAAAGGGGCGCGGGGGCGCCGTGCGAGCAGGCCTGCTGAGGCCCATAGGCTGAGCTCCCCGCGGGCAATACGAAGCGTATGAGGGGTGTGCCGAAGTGGGCTCGGGGACGCCATGCGAGCACTCTCACTGGGGCATATGTTGAGCTCCTTGTAGGCCACGAAGCGTGTGAGGGGTGTGCCGAACAGGTCGCGGGAATGGCCACGCGAGCGCGCCCACTGAGGGCATACGTGGGGCGCCTTGAGTGGCACGAAACGTGGGAGGGGTGTGCCGAACTGGGCGCGGGGACGCCATGCGAGCGCGCCCACTGATGGCATACGTGGAGCGCCGCGCCTTGAGGGGCACGAAACGTGTGAGGGGTGTACCGAACTGGGCGCGGGGACGCCATGCGGGCGCGCCCACCGATGGCATACGTGGAGCGCCGCACCTTGAGGGGCACGAAACTTGTGAGGGGTGTGCCGAACTGGGCGCGGGGACGCCATGCGAGCACGCGCACTGGGGCCATGGGTGGAGCTCCCTATGGAGGCAGGAGCCGCGCGAGAGGCGTGCTGACATGGGTGCAGGAAGAGCAGTAGTAGCGGGAGCGATCGGAGAAGGGACGAGGATCATGAGGAAGAAGAGGGAGGAGGAGAGGAGGAACGGCGGGGGATGGAGGAGGAAGGACGGACGGAAGGAGACGCGCGCCGCTGCGGATTCAAAACGAGAACCCAACACATAGGAGGGTTTGGCAGAGCATCAGATCGGAGGATGGATGGGCTCCTCCTCTTCCTCCTCCTCCTCCTCTCTTTTTCCTTATGACTAACTCTTCCCTGTCATACCCGGAGGCCAGTCGGAAGGGCCGGCCGGGCGTTTCGCCTGAGATTTCTTTTCCACTTACGAGCCTGAAGCTTAACAACTGGCAACAGTTTCGCAGATGGAGGGCGGGTCGTTTTCAAAATGGGGTGGGCTCTCGCCTTAGCGTCGCGCATATTCGTTTTAGACATTTGCAAGAGTTTCACGGCTTGAGGGCGGGTCGTTTTCAGAATGTGGCTTTCGATTTAGCACCGCGCTTCAGACATGGTGTTTTGGAACGATGCAGGGTTGTCAAGGCGCAACAGTCATGTTGATTCGCGGTGTTGAAGGCCCAGGAGTGGTGCTCTGGCACGATGCAGGGTGGTCAAGGCGCAACAGTCAGTCAGTTTAACTCATGGCGTTGAAGTCTTGATAATGCTGTTTTGTCACTCTACAGGATTTTCACATGGCTGTCCCCCAGCAGGGCACTTCCCTCAGTGGAAATGAAGCCTTGTACTATGGGGCCCGTGAGGGGGGAGCTTGGAGGGAGGGTGTGTTCCAACATCGTTGATGAGTCTTAGGTTTACACTGTTCCTCCTCCTCCTCCTCCTCATCATCATCATCACCCCGCTGCGCAGCAGCCCCCTCCCTCCTCCTACCTCCCCCTCTCCCTGAATCCGGGGGCACGGCCCCTCGCGCAGGTCGGTCATCGGAGTGCCGAGGGCGGAAAAGAGGGGGGTGATGACTAGGGGGAGGTGGATATCATGGCGGGGGCCATGATGTTTCCCCAGATCTCGTGGCGCCTCTTCTTATTTCATTACGTCCAAGCCCCGTGGGCTTAGCAAGGCCCCGGGGACGTGTTTAGCGGCCCTGGGGAGTCTTCTTCGAGGCCACGGGAGGTGTTCTGGCGGCCCCAGGGTGGTGTTGTAGCGCCCTTGGGGATGTGTCATTTTGTTCAGAGGCGCGCGGGAGGGCCGCGGGGCCGCTCCCGAGAGTGGTGGTCCTCACGTGAGCCCGCCTGCGCACCACACTTTTTGAGGCCACGTCCTCCACGCCATGCCCCCAAAGGGCACGGGCGGGCCCCCCGGCCAGGGAAGCGCGCACGCCTCCGGCGCTTCGCCTCGCCTCCCTTCGCCTCCCTGCCCTCCTCCTCCTCCTCCTCCTCCTCCTCCTCCTCCTTCCCCCCCCACCCTCCTCCTCCTCCTCCTCCTCCTCCTCCTCCTCCTCCTCCTCCTCCTCCTCCTCCTCCTCCTCCTCCTCCTCCCCCCCTTGCTCCCCTCCTCTTGCGCCCCTCCTCCCTCCCGCTCCCCAATGGGGGTTTTCCCAGAGGAGGTCGGCGCCGGGCGGCCCCACGCGGAGGGCCGCGCTCCGCGAGCGCAGCCCGAGGCCCTGCCGGCCCAGCACGTCCTGGGCGACTACTTCACCCGGAGCTCGGAGGGCACGCGAGATGCTCCGGCGGTCGCAGGCATGGATTTCAGGGGAGGTTTTTGCCGATTTTCGGCCCCAGGGGGCCCTCGCCCGATTTCAGGGGAGGTTTTTGCCGATTTTCGGCCCCAGGGGGCCCTCGCCCGGCCTCGGGGCCGTCAAAAGAGGAGTCGGGAGGAAAAACCGGTCCCGGGGAGAGGGTCGGGGCTTCCAGGGACGCCGTCCTGCACAAGTCAGGACGTCGCATGTCTGGGTCTGGACGCCCGAAATTCAGGCGAGCATACACATGGATCAAGGGGGCGTGGATTAGCGACGGGCCCCGTTTCCATGGGAAATCGCGGATTTCCGCCGCCGAGCAAGGCGGCACTGGCCGCATTCTGGGGAGGGCACCTGCCCCGATCCATGGACTCGGCGACCGCGCGCCACAGCCATGGATCGCTAATCCATGTTTGCGCGCCCCCGAGATGTGCTGACCGATCCTGGGCAGGATCGGTGAGCACACAGTGGGGGCCCATGCCAAGAAACACCCTGCTGACCTCCAGGGTGCCCTGGGTTTCTCTGGGGTTTCGACGGTTCTGCTGTGGAAGGCGTGGCGTTCCCACGCCAGAAATCGATGGACGTCCTGGGGTCTCAGGGTTGGGTTTCTTGTGGAAGGTTTCTTGTGGACTGGCCTCCACTGTATAATTGACGCAAAGAAACGGTTTCGTTTTCGCCGATATCCGCGCGTGAGCTGCCCGCGAGAGCTCGCGCGTAGGCGCCTTCGTTCCCAAGGCAGCGTGCCGCCGGCGGCCCGCGTGAGCCGCGGCGTGAGGTCGCTGTGCCATAGCGCGCAAGGTCGGTTTTTGATCGTCGCTGGCATGTCTCCGTGCTCCTGGCCTTTTTTTTTTTTTGTTTGTTTTTGTTCATTGTTTTTTTCCTCCTCGCCCGAACTCTGCCTGCATGGGAGCACGCGCCCGACCTGGCCCTGGCCGGGAGGGCGCGCGCCCCGCTCCTCGCCCGGGCCGCTCCCCGGGCCCCGGGAGAGCGGCGACCCTCCGCGCCTGCCGCCGTGCCTCCCTGGCCGGGGGAGGGGGGGGGAGCGCGGGCAGCGCCGCGGCCCGGGCCCGGCGCACGGGCCCCGGCCAGAGTCGGGGGCGGAAAAGAGGGGGGTGATGACCAGGGGGGGTGGATATCATGGCGGGGGCCATGATATTTCCCCAGATTTCATGGCGCCTCCTCTTATTTCATTACGTCCCTGGCCCGCCCGCTGGGCCGCGCACATGCCGCCGGTCATGATTTGCACCCCCCCCTCTTGGACACCCCCCTCTTGGCCGCTCCCGACAGAGGCCGGGTGCGCGCGCGCGCGTCGCTTTTGGTGCTCTCTGGTTAATTCAAGCTCTGCGCGGCCCGCTCAGCTTCGGCCGGAAGAGGTGCGCTCTCGACCCGCGAATCCAAAAGGGTGTCGCTTTTTGGTGCTCGCCTGGGCCCTCCCGGGTGGGGTCGGAGTGGGGTCGTCGGGGCCGGTCCGGACCTCCCAGCTTCGAAGGAGAAAAACGCCATGCCAGGCCGGGTGCGCGCGCGCCGCTTTGGTGCTCTCTGTGGGGCCTCCCGGGTGGGGTCGGAGCATAGGATCGTCGGGCCTTGTCGGGGCCTCCCAGATTTTCGAAGGAGAAGAGGAACGCCACGAACGTAGACTTTTGGCGCTCCGCGCGGAGTTCTTAGATCCGCGCTGGGGCCCCCCCCGGCGGCGCCTCCGGCGCCGCACCTGGCGCGCTCCGCGCGCCAGAGAGGGGGGGTCCAGCACAGCTCTGGAAAATCCGCGCGCAGCGCCAAAAGTTATGTTTCTGTTTCTTTCTTCTTTTCAAGATGGGGTTGGAGGACCGCGCCGCGTCGCCGACGCATCGGCGATGCGGCTCGATGTGGAGCACGATGTGCTTCATGTTGGCGTCGCCGATGCATCGCCGACGTCGCCGATGCATCGCCGGTGCGTCACCGATGCATCGCCGACGCATCGCCGATGTATCTCGGCGACGCGGCGCGATCCTCCGACCCCGCCTGCTCTGACCCCACCTGGTAGGCCTTCAGGAACGGGGACGTTCTGTTCGTCAACGCCAGCGTTGCCTCCGAGCCTGGCTGCCTGAGGACCGCGGAGCTCCCCGCCGCGGTGCACTGCGACGGCGCGCACCGCCAGGCGCGGCACGAGGTGTGCGCGTCCCTGGGGCTCCTGGACGCCCCCGCGCCCGGCGGGCTCCCGGCGTCCGCGCTGGCGCCGCTGCTGCTCGTCGTGGCCGCTGCCGTGCTCTCCTACCTCCTCGCGTCGGCCGCCGTGAGGCGGAGCCGAAGACTCGTCCGGGAGGCGTGATGAAAATGTCGGCGAGGAAGCAGCAACACAAGCATCGATGTGCGACGGTCCGCGCGGGTTGCTTCGATCTGCGCTGGGGCCTCTGGCGTGCTCCGTGCGACAGGGAGGGGGGGCCAGCGCAGATCCAAGAAGTCCGCGTGGACCGTTGAATGTTTGAACGTTTATGTTTCTGCCGTTTTTGGTTTCTCTAAAACGCCAGCCTGCCTCTTCTCTCTCTAGGCCTCCCAGGTGACGTCCGAGCAGATGGGTCGGAGGATCGCGCCGCCTTGCCGATGCATCGGCGATGCAGCTCGATGTGGAGCTCGATTCTTATCCACGCCGACGTCGCCGATGTATCGCCGACGTCGCCGACGTCGCCGATGCATCTCCGACGCATCACCGATGCATCGGCGATGCATCGGCCCCGCGGCGCGATCCTCCGACCCCATCTACTCGGACCCCATTTGGGAGGCCTCGATGGAAACAGCCGCATGCCTCCTCTCCTGCAGCCTCGGGCCTCCGCCTCCTCGTTCCTCTCTCTCTCTCTCTTTGTCTTCCCACTGCTGCTCTTCGTCCTCCTCGCCCCTCACCTCTCGCTCCTCACTTATGGCGTCTCGCTCGTCCTCGCCTCATCCTCCTGCAGCCTCGTCCTCCGCCCTCCCTCCTCCCTCCCACCTCCCTCTTTCTCCATCCTCCCTCCCCCCCTCCCTCGCTTCCTCCCTCCTTCCCTCCCTCTGTCCTCCCTCGCCCCACCTGCAGAATTTCCCTCACACACATCAGCGCTCCTGGGCAACCTCGGACCTGGGAGCACGCCCGCTGCCTTGCTTCGCGCCTTTGGGTATCGTCGTCCTGGGGCCGCTGTCTGGCACACCTCCGGCCCCTGGCACACCCTGCGAGCCCCACAGCCCTGTTCGCACCCCTCCAAGCGCCCTTTGCGGGACGCCCGCTCAGTGTGATTGTTTGGAGCCGTGCGTCCTATGAGGGGAGACTCCACCTGCTCGAAATAGGCCAACAACAGCCAAGATCCACTCCACGGGGGGGGGGGGCGGGGGGGCGAGGGCCTGCGCCGATCGTCAAACGAGTGAATAACAATAAACGCTCACGAGGCTTCGGGCGTGTGGGGGGTTTTCTGAGAGGGGTGTGCTCCCGCGGGCTGCGGCGGGTGCAGGGCCTCCCCCATCCGTCCTCCGGGACCCGCTCTCCCGCCCCCGGTCGCTGTCTCCTCCTCCCCCACTTGCCCTTTCCGCCTCGAGGCGGGGACCTGTCCAGCCGCCCCCTTGGTCGGGAGGACGGAGGAGGAGGAGGAGGAGGAAGAGGAGGCGGGGGGGGAAGGAGGAGGAGGAGGAGGAGGAGGAGGAGGAGGAGGAGGAGGAGGAGGAGGAGGAGGAGGAGGAGGAGGAGAAGGAGGAGGAGGAGGAGGAGGAGGAGGAGGAGGAGGTGTCTGGTCGGTGTTCGGGTCGGCCGCGTCCCTTGAGGTGGTGCCTGGGAGGCCCGAGCGCTGGCCTGATTCCAGAGGGGAACAAAAACACACAGGCAAAATGAATCTTCGATCCCCCGGGAAATCTGGGAGAATATGGGAAGTGGGGGGAAGACAAGAACCCAGAAAATATGGGGAAGTATGGGGAATCTTTTTTATCTGCGTGTATTTACTTGCGTGTCCCGGGGTCCCTTCACTGACGACTCCCCGTGGCCCCGGAGCGGCAGCGGGCCCGGCCGGCCTCCGGGCGGCGCTCGGGCCGCTCCCTCCCCCGCGCCGACCCGGCCGTGCCGCTGCCCCCGCTCGTCGACTTCGGCACCGCCTGGCTCCGAGGCTTTGCCCCCTCCCGGCCTCGTTCTGAGGCTGCGCCCCCCTTCTCTCGGGCCCGGCGAAAGGGGGGGATTGGGAAAGGGGGGGTTACGAAATTTGCTGCATGCAGCTGATTTCGGCCTCACCGAGGGGCCCATTCCTCGATACATAGTCGCCTCCGGCGCCGGGAGGCGCCGGGAAAATCAGCTGCGTGAGCTGATTCTCAAACGCCCCCTTTGCTATCCCCCCCTTTCGCCCGACCCGATTCTCCTCCCCCTTCTCGTCGTAATTCAAGCTCTGCGCGGCCCGCTTCGCTTCGACCGGAAGAGGTGCGCTCTCGACCCGCGAATCAAAAAAACTGTGTCGCTGCTCCCTACCTACGGGGGGATCGATCTTCTTTGGGACCCGCGGCAGGCGGTGGGCAGGTCAACCATGTCTCCAGCCACCGCCCGCCGTCGTCCCCGAAGATCGATCACCCGGGCGGTGGTCTTATGGATACGGCGGGGGGTGGAAACACAGCGTGCAATGCGGCGCGGCTGGCCCGCTTGCTGAACGCTGCCCCCCACCTTGGGGCTGGCGGGCGCCGGGGAAGTCCCCGGCAGGGGGACAGCTCGCGCAGAAGGGGCCCCCGCGGGGGGATCGCCTCACAGGGATGGCGTGCTTTTGGGAGATCGATGCTGCACGCTATCTTTCAAATGCCGACCGTACATGTGAGTCGTCCGTGTCCCTCTACAGGAGAAATATACAGCAACAGAAATAACAAAAATAGTCTGGGGACGATTTTTTGAGTATATCTTTTAAAACAGTTTTTTTTATTTTTTTGTTGCGCCCAAAATCCGCCTGTGGGGACATGCCCGACCTGATCGTACATTCCCCACTCCGCCCTCTGCCTCCACGGCCCCGCTCCGCCGGCTCCGCCGGCTCCGCCGCAGGCCGCGGGGGGAGGGGAGGGGGGGGGCTCCCAAAGATGGGGCCCCGAGGGGCGGTCGGCGGCGCTCCCGAGGGGGGAAGTGAGAAAGGGCGGGCCCTCTCAGAAGGCACTGAAGTTTCCCGGCCTTCTTCTGGTTGACCGAAAAGAGGTTTGGGGCACAACATCACCGGCTCCCGCCTGATTCGTCCTCACAATTTATTGCCAAATCGCGCTCGCGCGCGGGATTTCCTCACAATTCATGTACGCATCGCGCTCTCGCGTGGGACTTCCTCGCAATTTATTCAGACGATGCGCCTTCGGCGCCCAGGAATCACGCTCTCGTTTTAGCTTTTGCTCACGAATCGCGCTATCATTCGATAATTCCTCGCGATTCATGCAGGACCCACGCTTCAGCAACCCGCCTGCTCGACCTGGTCGCCGGGGCCCGCCTTCCCGACCTGCCCGCTATGAGTCTGCCCACCCGATCTGCCCGTCTGGTTCTACCACTCGTTTTCTGCTCTTTGCCCCCGTCCTGCTAATTTCTCTCGTGCTCCATTCTTCTTCCTCCCCCTTCCACCCGTCCTCTCTTCCCTTGTTTTAGGGGCTGCACTACATGCACGTGGCAGGGAAGGAAGATATACCCCCAAAGGGGTACGATCGAAGATGACGAGGGCGGGTACCGAGGGCTTGGGATATACGTATTGATTGGCAATGGAGAAGACATGAGCGAATAGTCTTAGCATGGTTGTTGTTGCTGTTGTTGCTGTTGTTGCGGTTGTTGTTGCTGCTGCTGCTGCTGCTACTGTTGTTGTTGTTGTTGTTGTTGTTGTTGTTGTTGTTGTTGTTGTTGTTGTTGTTGTTGTTGTTGTTGTTGTTGTTGTTGTTGTCGTTGGTGTTGTCGTCGTTGCCACTGTTGCTGCTGTTGCTGATGTTGTTGTTGCAGCTGTTGTTGCTGCTGCTGTTGTTGTTGCTTCTGTTGCTGTTGCTGTCGCTGCTGCTGTGGACTAATCATGTCTAAAGAATATGTATTGTTGATCCCCCCTGCCCGGTAACCATTCTAATTCTCAGTTAAAGTGTTTCTCCCGGGGTTCGCACCCTTTTTTTTACAAGGGGAAGTAAGGTGGCACCAAATGGTGCCCCTGACCCCCGTTTTACAATAACAGCGGTTCCCACTTGATACTGCCTCACAATGTATTCCCGACTCGCGCTCTTGCGCGGGTCGTCCTCACAATTTATGCAGGTCCATCGAATTTCATTCAGACGCCGCACCCTCGACTCTCAGGAATCACGCTCTCGTTGTGGATTTCCTCACGATTTATTTGGGAATCGCGCTATCGCTCGAGACTTCTTCGCGATTCATGCAGTAAGCACGCTAAAAAACCGCCTGCTCGATCTGGCCGTTGGGGCCTGCCTTCCCGACCCGCCCGAAGGGTCTACCCTCCCGTCTGGTTCTGCGACGTGTTTTCTGCTCCCAGCCCCCCTTCTGCTAATCCCGTGCTCCATCTTCCTCCCTCCCCCTTGTCCCTTCCTTCCATCCGTCCTCTCTTCCCCTGCCTCAGGGGCTGCACGACATACACGTTGCAGGGAATAACAAGATGTATACATGTACATCTATATTTATATATGTCTATATATAAATGTAGACATACATATGTATACATTTATATATGTATACATACACTCCCAAGGGGGTACGGTCGAAGACGAAGAGGGCGGGTATCAAGGGTTAGGGAAACACGTGTTGGATGGTCGGTCTCTGCTCAATGATCGTAGAACCCCCGCGGCGAATCCGGGCCACCTGCGAGTAGTCGTTGCCTTGCGGGTAGTGGAACGCGCTTGTCTGCTTCTGGCTTCCCCGACACGTGTGCATATGGTGTAGCCGGCGTTTGGGTGCCCGTGCCCGGGGGCGACCCGCTGCTTCAAAGCTCCCCCCCGGGGTCCATTTCGATCCGATCGGTCCGACCCGATGTCGATTCCGGCTGGCCCGACCCGATTATATTCCGACATTCAGAGGGGAAGGAGGTTTCGATGATGCTGCCTCTCCTTCGTTCTTCCTCTCTTTTGGGCCTTCTGGGGGGGGGCCCTAGTCGCCACGGCCGGATTCGCTTCGAAATCCTGGTCAGAACGCGCCCTGGGGAAGGTCTGGGGATCAGCAGTATCGGTACCTGTTCGTTTCCCCAGGTATTTCGGTGAGATTCTGCGGCCCGATGCTTGCCTGGCGCTGTTGTGCATCCTGGCGCAGCTGGTCAGATTCGACGTCGACTCTGTGCCGATGCAGCCCGATGCACCGTTCGATGTGAGCAGATGTGCCGATTCGATGTTGACTGATCCTGACCCTCGTGACCATTTCTTAGCCCTAGGAGGCCAGGGGGCATTGTTTTTTTTCGGATGCTGGCTCGGCTTGAACATGCCTCAAACCTTTGTGCAGAAGGACGCCCACAGGCCGCCAAGATTGCCTAGAATGCCCCAAGACGCTCCAACCTATTTCAGGACCGCCCTGGGGGACCGCAAGATGCCTCAGGAGACGATCCGAGAGATACCCAGAGAGGCACGGGACACCAAACTTGAAATCAAATACCTGAGGTTGTTCAATATTGTTTGGTTATCCAAATGGCTTCGGGAGCGGTTCAGGCAGCCTCTAAAGACGGCCCCGCAGCGGCCGAGTGAGTCCCCAAGATGGCCCCATAACGCCCCAATCTGATCCCGAGACAGCCCAAGATAGCCTCCAGAGGGGTCCAAGAGAGTCCCAAGAATGTCCAAGAGAGCGCCAAGGCGGCCCAAGAGGTCCAACACACAACTCAAGCAGTCCCCAAGAGCCTCCAGCAGGCTCCGAAGAGCCTCTAAGAGCCACCCAAACGCCCCCAATACGCCTCCTGAGGAGCCCCACTACAGCCCCTGGACGCTCCAGGACGATACCCTAATAGACCCCTACACTGCAGGCTGGTCACGTCCTTGGTGTGCTTGATCGTCTAGCACACGCCGACATTTGAGGGTCCGTAGCGTAGTGCCTGTATGGGGGTCTGCAGTGGAATCTGCTGTCGGGCCTGTAGTTGGATCCTTTGTAGGGCCTGCTGCCGGAGCTGATGCCGGGCCTGCAGCAGGATCTGCATCGCCTGCAGCACGGCCCGCCAGAGGATCTGCAGCTTGGCCTAAATTCGGGCTTGCAGTGATGCTCGCAGCAGTAGGATCCGTAGTGAGGCCTCCAGTGGGAGCCAGCAGAGGCTCCATTCCAAACCCGGAGGGTTCGGGCAACTTGGCGGCCGCTTGTGCCGTGACAGAGAGAGGCTTCTGTCCCCCCCTCTGTTAATTCAAGCTTCGCGCGGCCCGCTTAGCTTCGACCGGAAGAGGTGCGCTCTCGACCCGCGAGTCAAAAAGCTTGTGCAGGGACAGAGCCATCGTGTGCCTCTACTGGCGACCTCTCGGGCCGTCTCGGGGCCCGAGAGGACCGTCTGTTTATGCCTTCTTGGGCTGTCTGGGTGGCTCTCAGAATCCCACGCGCCCACGCCCCCAGCCGCCCAAACCCACATGCTATTTTATGCATGTCTTCCTCAGACCGTGAACTCCCAGCCCTCCAGCCTCCCTGGCTTCCACGTCCTTGCCATTGGGGTTCAAGCACGTTCGGGTTGATCCACTTCGGTCATTTGCCCAGTGTTTTCTCTCTACAAGAAGACCGTCCGCCCCGTGCGGTATGACAAATTCCACGAACAGGGCAGTCATGATCCTTGCCGTTGCTCTTGT